AGCCAGGTACACCCTTCTTTAAGTAACTGTTATTGTTCTGCCCCTCAAAATCAGAAATTGTTATTTTCAGGAGGAGTATATATTCAGGATCCTCACTCCCCCCCCCAAAAAAAAAAAAAAAACAACACAAAACAAAACAACAACAAAACACCTGCTCATAGTAATAGTCTCACCAAGACAATTTTTCATTGTCATCTTCAAGGCTTTTGACTAATTTACTCTGTATCTTCCTACTACGGACCTGAATTGTGTGTTTCTTGTCATCAGGACCAAACTATATCTTACATTTGCATTGCACTGAAAGGTCTTTTCCTTCCCTTATTGATCGCGACTTGTGGAGTAATTGAACTGGATTCCAATTTTCCTTTGCAAGCGGGGTGCTCTCCATCCCTCGAAGTGAGTTATGCGTGTTCAAGTGGTGCATCTTATGAATCTTGTTAAGCTTTGCTGCCTTAGAGGCCCACTGATGGAATATTTAATCACAGAAATGAGTTGGCAGATATGATATACAGTGTGGTTAAGCTTTGCAGTGATCTTAGCGGCAATCGAGAAACAGATGAATTTGCCATTTGTCAGTACCATGCTGACGTCTTTGCATAACCTTCTGTTATTTATTTTGATTTTGTTGTACTTATTTATGAAGATTAAAGGTGCTTTCAATCAATAGTTGTGTGGGCTAGATATTATGATTATCTCTCAAAGACACCACTTCTTAAAAACCTTTTTTATTAGCAAGCAAAGGGGATCGCTCACACAGACAGGAAAACTGTAAGAATCCCCTTTGAGGCTTCTTCCTTGAGATTCTTAGAAACACTATTCTAATTACACTACATAAGTTGAGGCATGCTACTGGGAACAGATATTTGTAGATATTATACTTCTCTGTAGGGTCTTGGTTGTCTTTAAACTCTAAAATGGAATGGACATAGGTTCAGGCTAAATTCTTGGAAACCCATCTGAACTTTTTATTTTATTTTTATTTTATTTTATTGACTTATCAATCTTTTGTCTTGAGAATAAGACTCCAGAAGTCTGAAGATGGTGATACATATGGAAAACTAATAAATGCTGCTTAATATAACAGGAAAACACCACCTTGTCTTCAGAGAAGATTTATGTGTGGTTGTGGGATTAAGCTGATTTATGTCTACCTGCTCTGGGGCCAAGTTGGGTGAGTGTTTCAGAGTTTGTCCAGGCCTGAGAGCTCAGAAGAACCACCCAAAATGAAAGACCTTCCTGCATAGCTTTCTGAATGCCTCCCCTGGACTGTGTAGGCGAGGGAGAGCGCATGTCATAATTTATCAAAGCAAATTAATACAAAGCTAGTAATTAAAGATCCTCATTAAGAGGTTCAACTGCTCTCCCCACCCCCACCCTGCGTTAGCAATAAAAATGCACTCAGGGCGTCAGGAGGTTATACAGGGAAATCAATACCCTGCCATTTTATAATTAAAAGAGAAAATAAATGTTAGGGAAAAGTCCACTAAATTAGGAAAATTACCTTTAGGAGAGATTGAAAATATCGATTTTAATTTACAAAATATGTGAACTTTTCATGCCCCATTCGGGGAGACAATTGGAGGCTGGGCTGTTAATTCTGCATAAGCTTCAGAAAATCGATAATTATACTATGGAATATTATGATATGTGTCATTAACGCAGCATCTTATACAGAGAAATGACTAATAAGTCTGGCTTTCTATCTCAGACAGACACAGGGCTGGCCTGCTAAACATCCCTAGCAAATCAATGACAGGGTTTTCGTTGCAGCTTTGAGGCATATTCAAAATTGTAAGATAAACGCAGACTATTTTTATACTTGGGGAGATTTAAAATGCCCCCCGAAATTCTTAGTCATGGGTATTTCAATGGGCGACATTAGTAATTATACCTGCTTATGGAAATAAATATATTCCACACCGATATCTTTATATATACAGGAATGAGCAAAAAAGTAGGTTTATTCTTGTATTATCATTTATTAATTATTTTCTTGTTTATTTGTATTATAACTAAACCTGCTTTTGCCCACCCCTGTATGCATTCCATAGATACAGGTGCCTGAAACTTTAGATTGAAGCTGAAAGGAGTCTCAGTGTGTGTTTTTTCCAAATATTTCCAAGGGATAGTTTTGGAGGGTTGAGTTCGCAGCAGCATATCCCCACATTTCTGACTACCACAAGCTCTCTCTACCTACAGACACAGATATACAGGCAACAAAGGAAAAGCTTCTGATTAAGCAGAGGCCCAATATTGTCAACTCAACCACAAATGTTCAGATTTCCCAAGTGTCACTTACTTAGCTGGGCCCCCTGTTTTTAAGGTGTAAGTTGTTTGGAACAAGTCGTAGAGATCAGGACGTGCTTGTTCAGACTCCTTACAGCTTCCCCTGACACACCTGGATGACATGTCTGACTATGGTGGCAGACGGTGGTGGACATAATCCAAAATCATTATCTTATTTCTCTTCTGGATTTGGACGTAGATCAGGAGTCTCTGCTATCATACGGCAGAGTCAGTAAGAATGACTTCTAATATTCACAAAAAAGAAAGAAGCAGCATATCTGGTTGTAAAGAAGATAGCCCCTTGCTTTCAAATTCTAGCCAGTTTCTTACCAGCTAGCTGTGGCATCTTAGTCCCATGATGCTAACTCCTTGAACCTTAGTCCCCTCATTTGGAAAATTGCCAAAGGAATTTTAACGTGTTAATTTAGGTACAGTGTGTACATCAGTACCTGCACATAGAAAGAACTAGGTCCATATTTACCCTTATGATAACTTATTCTTTCTCTATATAGCTCGGTTATTTAACTTCTAAGGGTGGGCCCAGGGCTAATTTGAATACCTGTTCTAATGTTCTAAAAGTTACTCAGATTAATTTGCTCTCGAATGAATGCATTAGTCTAAATTGTTCATTCCATCTTATTGTCCTCTTTAAAAACCACAAAAATGCATATAGGTTTGACAAAAATATTTCGTGTTTTCCTGCTTGCCAGGGAAAAAAATGACCAACTACTTTGCATGGAACCAGAAAAAACGCACTCTCCTCTCTCTACTACAACGCGTGTATATACCCTTCCTCTTCAGCAAATGACATCTTGCTCTTTGTTCTTGACCCATAACTTTGGGATAAAGCATGCAGGTAGGTGAGTGTGCACGCACACACTATACACAGTGTCTGCCACCTCTTTACTCCCGCTACTCCATTTCACTGGGAGGCATCTTCAGGTGCACAGAGGTGCTGTCTTAAAGTCTCTTTGTACCTTTGGGCCAATTTCATCTATTTGCCATTTGGACAAGGATGTACTCCAGTATTATCTATGTCCCTGGACAGACTGCCTTACTTCTGGTCCCAAAATTAACTTCCGCCAAATGGACATGCTGAGAAGGGAAGGACTAGTCCTCTCATGAGATAAGAAGAGAATTTCTTAGTCTAGTGGTACACTCACAATTCAGCATCGTCAGCTCTCTGCTAATTTTCACTTATGGCAACAAGGTGGAATAGTAACTTAATTCGATTTACCCAGTGTTTGCATGGTGCCAGCTTTGCACCAAACACATTTCATACATTAATCCACGTAATTCTTATAAATACCTGTGTGTTTGTTACTATTATTATCTCCCATTTAACAGAGGAAGACACTGAGGCACAGAGAGGTTAAGTAACTTGCCTAGAGTCACACAGCTTGCCAATAGAGGGCCCAGAATTTGAACCCAGGTTGTCTTGAGTGCAGTGTCCCTATTGCTCACTCTGCTGGGTGTCCTGTTAAGATATGGGTTGCACCATATGGTTATGGGTATCTCTCTCCTCCCTCATAAGCATCAACACTGCTACTCCACAGTCATAGACTCCTTGGACTTAACCCAGGCTTGTGGCAAAATCCACATGTGGAAGAACAGCTGCAGACACTGTCTATCTAAAATCCAGAACACATATTGGGCCTTCCCAGATTTACCTTTTTTTAAAAATTAAATTGGTTCTTATACCGAAGTAGCTAAGTTTCCCATGCTCCCTTGTCATCCACTAAGGTGGATGCTTAGTGTCATGATGGTGACCGCAGTGAGGCACCCCAGAAAAGGCAAAGCGGGGGACATGACTTACCTTCAAGAACTCCCTAAGTGACAGACCAAGTGGTCATTGCTTTCTCCTTATTAAAAAGTAAGGGTCACATCTAAGAAAGACTTTTTTTCAATACCCATGCAGCACATCTCTTCGGGTCCCCAGGTGTTAAAAGCAGCCTTGTTAATGAGCGAAGACACAACAGGCAGAAGTGACAGGCCAAGCCAACCAAATCTCAGCTGCTGTTGCTCTGGGCTACTCTCTCTCTGAATTTGATGGTCAGGTTTTCTCCTACAGTGTCTTTCCCAGCTGAGAGGGAGTTGCAGGGTAGGCAGGGAAGGGAGAAGAGAGATACACCCTTGAAGGCAAAGCAGAGAGCACTAGAATTGCTAAAGAAAATGGATCAATGGAGAAAGAATGACAATTTAGTTCTTTCCAGTTTTCTCAGTAGTCCTTATCTTGGCAATTGCAACTCATTGCCACATTATTGGAATAACTAATCTAATTCTCTGCTTTGCCAGGGGAAAAAAAATGCAACCCTGAACGGCAATGTATGGCTAAAAGAACACATCCAGCTGCTGACCAAAAATGGGCGTGAACATTTACTTAATTTGCACCTGCACAAAGTTTCCCACCTTTTTTTTTTTTTTAAGGTAAAACCAATGGGAAATGTCAGAAGGAGCAGTGGCTCCATGCCTGCTCCACAGTGGAACTGACATGATCCTCCTTTATTTTTTCAAAGGGTTTTAAACACTTTTGATTTTGCAAAAAAAAAAAATAATAATAATAATGATAATAAATAAATACATAAAATCACTCAAAACTTAATAATTTACTTGGCTCCAATTTTTTTTTTTAAACAAAACCCAATTCTTTAGTGACAGGCAAAGCACAGATAGAACAGAACAAGAAGACATCGTGCAAAAGAGAAACTGTTTACCTGCATAGAATTCGGGACTGTAGACGGCACCCACAACTGGATTCAATTTCCAGCCTTGAAAGGAATACACAAAACATTAACATCACCTTTGATTCAACAAAGAATATCGTGACAAATTAACCGCACATCCAAGGGGTTGGTGTCTTTTATAATTTTAAAATTCAGAGAATAGATAGTTTGGGCATATAAACATTCTTTGCAAACTACATAGTTCTAGGGAAATAAAGTGATTTCCTCCTTTGATTTTCTTCCTATACAAGTTAATAGAATGGAAACTACTGACCAGCCACAGGTGAACCTTTTGAAAGTGATGTGGTAATTAATTTTCTTCCATATCAATATTTTTTAGAGCCACTAAATAATTTCATTCTTTTACTCTTTTCTGGGTCACCACTAAATAATTCATTGCATGTCTCTGTGTGGTAAGTTCACAAAAATTTGCAAGCTCACAGGAATAGAATTCTTTGCAGAAATATCTATCTATATATATAAAAGCCAAAGCTACGGAACAACCTGTTGACAGGTCACTATGATGCACACTGACCAGCAGTGGGCAGATGCTCAACACAGGAGCTGCCCCCCTAGGGGTCAGTGCACTCCCACAGCAGGAGCACTGCTCAGCAAGCTTACCAAGTGGTGGCAGCAGGCACAGCCGGGCTGGGATGAGTGGAGCGGCAGGGGTTCCTCCCCAGTCACCTGCTGCTTCGCAGCACACTATTACATCCGTTGGGGGATTTTGGACTGCCAGTGTTGGCCAAAACTGGCAGTCTGACATCCCCCAAGGGGTCCTGGATTGTGAGAAGGATGTAGGCTAGGCTGAGGGGTCTCTAGTATTCTGATAATTGTCATTCCTAATTATGATCTGGAGACTGTAGACTTCCAAAGTGCTTTTTAAATCCTAAAGAAAATGACATTTATCCAGTAGAGATTAAGTATGGAATATATTTCAGTTGCTTTCAAGAGCCATACCAATTCCTAATTAATGCATGATATCTAATAACCTTTATATAAGATGACCAGAATGCTGTAATATTCCTAGTCTTGGAAGGAGCATTTTCTGTCAAATGAATCATGGCCTTTCAAAAACTTTTACTCAAGAAAAGAGCATAGAAGAATATTTGCAAATCAAGAAGCTACACATATAAGAGACCCGCTAGGCACTATTTGGGGAACAATCTCAGAAGAATGAGCATGTTTTAGGATTTGGTGTTCATTTCCTGTCCCTGTTGGCACATCTTTATGAAAACATCCATTACATGGAACTCCTGAAAGGCAGTGAAGGATACATGCACTGCCTTTTGTGGAAAATCTATGTTCTTGGGCTGAGGGTGAAACACAGCATGTCCTTGAGTGAATATCCCTGAGCAAAGGCAGTGGTGAAAGTTGGAATGTGTGGGAAGGTGTTTCTGACAAGGAGAACTCTCAGTTCTTTCCAGAAGAGAGAGGTGTGATACCCCAAAGTCTGACCTAAGTGAAGTGCCTGTAAGAAGTAGACCAAAATCTAGTGACCCACTAAGAGGTTCCGTCATCTCAATAAATATGCCCCCAGTGGACTTAAGGACTTTCTAGAATACTCTGAGAAACTGTTTGGTTTCTATGAACTTTCAGTTCCAACTTTAATAAGCTAGCCGATTTACAGTTCCCACGATGTCCTTAGAATAGAGTTTTTCTAAAGGTTGTTTTTGAATTACTTGGGACACTTCTTAATGGGAAATCCTTAGCTATATTTCAGACCTACAGAAAGAGACATAAAATCCTGATACCTATTGTCCCAGTGGGTTCTTAAACTTCATAGAGACAACTTCCTCTCTCATATTAACCACATCTTGTCTTTTAGGAGTTTCTATAGTGATATACAAATAAATATTGCACCAAACATTTCAGAATATGTGTTCTATGAATGCAGAGAATGACTTCAATTTGGCCAGCTAAAATCCCGCTGCTTCTCAAAGAAGAAAATACCCTATTCAAGAAAACCTGGGAACTGATATTCATGTCAAGTTATTTGAAATTAAAAAGAGAGAGAGAGAGAGAGAGAGAGCTGATTGAAAATAAAAAACTACAGGGTTATCCAAACATATTTAACATTTTCTTTCCAGTCCATAGAAATCTAGAGTTTGTGAAAGAAATCTATATGGAGCTATATTAAATGAATTATTTATTTATTGTCTCTTCTTCCCTCTGCCCCACCTTTTACTGGTAGTGGAGACAGGGTCTTTTTTTTTTTTTTTTTTTTTTTTTTTTTTTTAACACTACTCAAGTAAGGTTTATCTTGTAGGCATCCTTATTGGCTGTCTTGAATTCTTCAGTTGCACACACCCCTCAATTCCCTTCAGTGTAACTGTCAAAGAGAAGTTATACCAATGGTTTTTCTTTTCCTCAAAGAAAGAAATTTTTCAGAGGTATCTAAGATGGCCTTAAAAATCATGTTTCTGTCATCTGCTTTTCTCTTCCTCATTTCCTTGGGCCAAGTAACCTTTCCCTCTATTTGTCTGCCTGTCTATCTATCTATCATCTATCTATCTGTTATCTATCTAATCTCTCTCTTTTTCCTTTCTCTCTCTCTAGACTGATTCCCTCACTCTTGCAACTCTGACCTGATTGAGTTCTCCAGTGTCTTCCCAGGGGAAGCTACTTAATGCTACTCCCTTCCCTGCCTTTGAGCTACTCCCTGAATCAATTGCCAGTTTTACTTCCTGTACGGCTGTTAACTCTACCCGGGTTCATCTTTTTTCTTTGTCTGCTTGTTAATTGTCTTTATAACCATTTCCTTTATTAGAATTACTGGTAAAGTGAGCAGGTCTGACATCCAATATGAATTCCCAGCATCTAATACTGCATCTGGTGAATAGTCGGTACTCCATACATACTTAGTTTTGCTCTAAAGAAACTGAAAGAATATAAAGCTTTTTAAATAGACTCATTCCCTTTTGGTTAGGATTCTATCTTCTTTCAACTGCCAACAACCTACTTCCTGATATACATCTAATAAAGAAGGACCCCGTTATGGGTGACAGTCTTCAAGGGAAAGGTAATAAGAATCCAGCCCTTGAAAATCACCTCTATTCAGACTTACAGAGCTCAGGCAGGCTTATGTAAATGTATGCAAATTGCATGCAAATGGTCTCCTAGTCCCTGTGACTCCATCTAGTACCTGGAAGAGACCCTTGGGATAACCCTGCTGGAGACAGGAGCCTGCACTGTCAGGAATACGGACAAAATGATCCCAGTTTTAATTTCTCAGGCAGTTTGTGTATATCCCCAGGCCTTATATATTCACAGATTTTGATCAAGGACATTAAACCGAACAATGAGGCTTACCACAGAAAGAGAACAGCTGATTAAGCCCACCACTCCCGGCCTCCCAGGGCCCCCCATAAAACAAGGCAGTGGAGCAGAGACCAGACACATGGGGGTCTCTCTCCATACCAGATGCAGGAGCTGTTTAGAGAGACCCTTCTGTGGCTGGGCCTGGAGGGGCCACCTCTAAATCGGTGCTCCCACCCTCAATTCAGCTTCTCAAAGTTCATCTGCCAGCTTCCCCTAAAGACGCTGGCCAACATGCCTGCTGTTAACTAATCCTCTGTTAGGTGTTAAAAGGCCAGCCTAAATGTGTATACACACACACACACACACACACACACACACACACAAATAAACAAAACCCCAAAATCAAAGCCTGAACAGGCCTTCTCTAGGGCTTCATTGGTGTGCGGCCACATGCTAATTTGTCTACCTCAAGGAAGGCTGTGTGGCTGCCTTGCAAACGTGATCATGAGATCTAAAGTAACCACAAAGGAAGGTCTGAAATTAAAGCTTTTTAATTAAAAAACAGTCTGTGGTGGGTAGACAAGTCCTAGGCTGGTATCTTCCCTGACAAATATCAACTTTGATCTTAACTGAGCCTAGGGTCTTTTTGCAACTAGATAACTTATTTTTTGGAATATCAGGATAGCTTGTAACTTCCCTTTTTCTGGATCTTTTAGGGCAAAACCATAGGGCAGAGACCACAAACTCCCTCATTGTTATTGTTGTCATGTTAATGGTTGATTGTTAACTATCTTATGCCCTCCTATGTAAAAGAAGCATTGTGTCTACCATTTTACTTTTTAATCCAATCCCAGAGGTTTCCCCACTTTGCTTTCTCCCACCTCCCTAATCTATCACCAATAGATTTCATGTAACCCAGTCTTATATTCTCATCCTTTGAGGGTAATTTATAAAATATGTGAAAAACCACCATTCTCCAGAGCATTATCTCAATATTTTGAAATTCTTTTAACTGGTAATTGTCAACAGTTTGGCTCAAATTAACTCACAAAAATTCTTCACAGGTTTCAATGTTCCTTAACACTGGATTACATATCAAAGAAACACATTCAAAAAATATCCTTAAATGCACCACAGGAGTTTTCCAAACTGGACATCAATGTTTTCCAAAAACATGTACTAAGGATACCAGGGCCTGGTCATTGAAATGGGCCATGAGGCAGTGCCCCAAATGAAAAGTTAGTGGTACATTGTGTTTGATTCACTTAGTATCTCTCCCTCCTTTCTTCCTTCCTTCCTTTCTCTTTCTTTCCCCCCTCCTCCTCCTCCTCCTCTTTCTCCTCCTCCTCCTCCTTCTTCTTCTTTCTCTCTCTCTCTCTCTTCCCCTCCCCCTCCCTCCCTTCCTCTCTTTCTCTCCCCCTCCCTCCCTCCCTCCCTCCCTCCCTCCCTCCCTCCCTTCCTTCCTTCCTTCTTTTTTTCTGCCACATATATTTATTCCCAACGTTTAGATTTCATCTACAATACAGGATTTCTGGTTCTCTTGAAACCTTATTAGAAATGGCAACTTTTAGATGGCTGGAGGTGAACAGAGACCCCATTAAGCTCCCAGTTAGTCAGTCACCACTACTCCCTAGTGTGTGCCTGGCTTAGAGGACTCATGTTGGCAGCCTTTCATTGTTACCATATGTTGTTTTCCTTCTAATAAAGAAATGTCTTGCTTTTACCAGTTTGTAGGTGAAAGACAATCTAAAAATACTGTGAGTTCCTCAGCCCTTGTCTGTTTGCTCACTTATTTTACCTGCCTAGCCTCTACCAGCATCTGAATATTTGATCCTCAAACTAGTATGTTTGTCAGAAAATGCAATTTGCTATCTTTAGCAAAAAACAAACAAGATGGCTACATATTGTTGAGATTATTATGTCATTGAATTGTACTTTATCTCCGTTAATAGTGACTGATATCCTAAGTAGTAGATCCTATTATGTCTGCAATTGCCACTTGAGAATACTAGGGTGTGGAGAGTTTAAGCAACCTGCCTGTCGGTCAGTAGCTAGAGAAAGGTAAAGCTGACACCAAACTCCACCCCTCCCTGTAGAATCTTTGTCCAGTTTTTATCCTTCCTAAGATCTCTAAGAAATAAAAGAGCTCCATCCAACCCCCCACGCTTCTCCAATATCTAGTAAATCCCTGAGATTCGGTTCTCAATTTGTGTTGCAGAGCAAGCATTTGACTTCCACTGGGCAGAGTAAACCCCAACTCTTCCCTGAGTATTGGAATCCTCAGGAAAAATCGGCACTATGGAAGTAGCCCAATTTTCTGTTTGTGGAGCTTTCTGATGGGTAGAGTTTACAAATTCTTATATATCATTCCAAAGTCTTTTCTTATACCCAAGTTAACTGTTCTGGGAAATAGAATCCATGTCCTCCATGAGAGCATTAACTCTAGTCTTCCATAGTGCAGTCTCCTAGCCATCTGTCTCATTGCACTTAGGATGCAATCTTATTAATCATTAGAAACTTTGCAGCTACTCAAACTTTTGTTGGTTTCACAATTGAAGGAATGTATGGCTTTGATGTTGGCATTAATAGCTATGTTTCATTATTTGAAGATGACCTTAAAAATGTGATGACTCCAGGAATGTATAATTTTGCTGAACATAAGTTTGATGGTTTGTGAAAATGAATAAGGTAACTAATGACTCTCACAGATCACTTAATTTTCTCCTTTCACTGTAACTTCATTGGTCCTGACTTTTCTCCTTTCCCCCTGCTTTATTGAGGTATAAGTGACAACTAACATCAGTACATAATTAAGGTGTACAACTTGTTGATTTGATATTCCCATACTTTGTAAAACATCTGTCACACTCAAGCTAATTAGCATATACATCATTCCACATAGTTACCACTTTCTTTGTGTGTGTGTGTGTGTGTGTGTGTGTGTGTGTTGATAATATCCTCTCCTACCACTCTTGTTAAGGATCGAAGGGAGTCTCTGTATATTTTCAGTTGAGTTGTATTGCAATTAATCAGAAATGTCTTTGTAGTGATGATACTCATGAACTAACAATTGAAAAACCTTTGAGAACCACTTTCTTTGAATATCAAAGGTCTCCAAGGGCTCCAACTGTCTTTATGTAATTAGAATTTGTATTGAATTTTCTAAGTCAGTTCTTCTGTGACTGTCCATGGACCCTTTAGGTACCACACTCAGTCCAGATGTCAGGGTAAGCCTCTGAGTAGCCCCTTTCAGGTACATGGAGGAGAGGCCCACGTGACTCATTGCTGGCACTTAAGAAGGTATGGCTACCGGGTTTGGGATGTGGGCTGCTTATGCCAACATCTGGCAGGAAGTTGAGGTCCACACCGAATACCTTGCATTACTGTCACAGGTTGCTATCTGAGTGCTGTTTATTAGATGATGGGGAAAGTAACGCATTCACATACACACAGGCATGGCCAGAGATCTTGTTACTTCACAACAAAAGCAAATGACTTCACTAATTACTTCCTCTTTTCTAGCCTCAGTTTTTGCATCTTTAAAATTGGGATAACCATTTCCTCTCTATAGGATTTCCTGTGGGCCCAGGGTATTTAATATGCTTCGCTTACTGCCGCACAGTTTAGTATTCCAGAAATGTTGGCTGTTAATGAACGTGCTTTGAATTGTGTGCAAAATCCCACAGGTCCAGTTTTCAGCCCCTGGGTATGACATTGATCAATAACTCTTTCTTTAAAATAAATATGCATACATATGGCTTAAGGAATAATATTTAGCTTCCTGACTTTATTTCCTCTCATAAACAGTACACAAGAGCATCTATGCATATGCATGAGAACGTGCATGTGCGCGCGCGTGCGCGCACACGCGCGCACACACACACACACACACACACACACACGCTCACTACTTCATAATTTTTTAAGGTTCCCAACAGTCAGGGTGATGGTGTCATGTATGAACTCTGGCAAGTGGCAGCACTCTCATTCTGACCCAAGTAGAAAGGCCTCAGGACCCATGAGTTGGAAGTGGCTTCGTTGCAGCACTGGGCATCCAATATCTGTTGTGAAATTTCTATTCCATTTAAGGACAGGTCTTGGCTGCTGGAGCTGGGAAAATGGGTCAGCAGAATAAATAAATTTGATCTTTCAGCTGAGAGCCCTATTATATTGAGAGTATATATCTGTTTAATGATGCCCCTTTGAAAAATATGAACAAACTTATTTAGCCAAATTGGCAGCTGCTGGCACAAGGAAGAAAAAGAACAAAATTACAAAATGCTAAACATCATAACAAAAATAAAATTAATCCAATCGGTATGGAAAGTTGGAATAAACACATAGACCCATGTATGGAATATTATGTAACTACTAAAATGGATGAATCTGGTCTGTACGTATTAACACTGAAAGAACTCCATGTGGATTTATGAACCCCAATTAAAATGATATGTACACCATACCATTTACATAAAAAGCATGTACACAATACTGTGGATACGGTAAATAGATACTTACTCCAGATACATGCACAAATGCAAAATAAAAGTACAGACATAATGGAGGTGTCCTCTAAGGAGGGAGAAAAGAAACCCTGTTGGCAGTGGTGTTATTCAAAGTATATTTTAGCCTTTTCTTTAATGTTTTATTCTTTCTTTTTTTTTTTCAAATGACTCTACATTTCCATGTTTTATGTGTAATTAAAATGTTAAAAATGGAAAATTCAATACTTTCCCTTTATGACAGTAATAAAATTATTCTTAAAAACCTATAAAACAAAGAAAAAATATCTTCCAGGCTCACAATTCAATTCAGCCATTACCACTTTGGTGTAATTCCCATCATAATTTAGTTCAAATCATGCTACACATATAATTTTTTATTTGAAAAAATGTTCGTTCATTATGGGGCTCTCTCAGTTTTAACTCTACTCCATTTAATGGTATAATATTCCACTAAGCATATATGCTTTAATACTGCATTACTTTCTTTATAATATTTGATACAATTAAGTATGTGATCAGCATATCAGCAGCCTTTCTCCCTATATATCTTAAAAGAGATGCACCCTGATGAGGATTAACAAATCAAAATATTGGAATGTTTTTAGTGACTTTCCATATATAATATATGTGAGTCCTTAGTGTGGGAAATGTGTGACACTTGGCCATTAGGGAGAGCCAGAATGCACTGTCCCGAGGGGTCAATGAAACATCCTGGCCTGACCCAAAATGATCACAGAGTAAGAAACAAGCACTCACACATTCTTCTCTCACTTCAGAACTCATCATGAGGGACTCTCCAACCCCCTTCTAAAGCCTAATAACTCCAAAGGAGATTCAAAGAAGGAACCAGATTTTGCAACCACACATCCAAGAATGCTAGTGATCAATGAGGTGATGGTTAATAAACAAACAAACAAAAAGCCTCTACCTCCCTCAACTTCCTATATCATAAAAGGCTAATATGCAAATAAACCAAATGGCGGAACAGCCAGTCGCTATGATGCACACTGACTACCAGGGGACAGACACTCAAGCAGGAGCTGCCCCCTGGTGGTCAGTGTGCTCCCACAGAGGGTGTGCCACTCAGCCAGACGCCAGGCTCATGGCTGGTGAGCACAGCTGCTATGGCAGGATCCACTCTTGCCTCTGCAGCAGCACTAAGGACCCCACAGGGAGCGGGCCTAAGCTGGCAGTTGGACCTCCCCCGAAGGGTCCTGGACTGTGAGAGGGTGCAGGCAGGGCTGAGGGACACCCCCCTCACGCACGAATGGGCTTCTAGTATTACTACAACAACAAATTAAATGACCCAACCAATTCCCAAATAGTGACTATATCTCACCCCTAAATGGGAATTATCCTAGAGTGGCTGAAAGAAGAGCATGCAGGTTAACCTGCAACTAACCCCGGCCCATTGTGGAAATTATCTAATTGGCTCAGGAGGTTCACTGTAGCAGGTCAGCAGTAAGGACACCCTCGCAGGCGAAGGCTAACGGGGTTTGTTGAAACATACTCTGTAATGAATTACTTGACAGGTTCAGAGGTACAGGCGACTTCCGGTAAAAGGCCAGGGTGTACTCACCATTTGTATAAGGGTTGACAGTCTTTTTGTTTGTCATTACACGTGCTGTGGCATTATTTACCTATGCACACAGAAAACACAAGTGAGCACACATCCCGGGGCCAACCCACAGTTCCATTAGTTGCATGCATTATGACTGTGATTACTTACTTAAAAAATAAAAATAAAACAAAACAAACTAAAATGCATTTTAATTTATAAAAGGCAGTAGGTGCATAACAAAAAAAAATCATACATTTTTATAATTACATTTACTTCATAACCATTTTAACTTACAAATCATTTCAATAAAGCAATGTCATATCATTTAAGTTTAATAAGGAGACAGTAAAAGCAAATTAAAAGGTACTGCATAATTGAAGACTTAAAAGCATGCATGTACTCCATGGTAACATAGAAACAATAGCTTTTAAACGGAAAATAAAGTTCATATGAAGGAACATGCAGTGGAGTAGGAAGAGGGAGAGACAAGGTACAAGGGAACATAAATGTCAAAAAAAGGGACAAACAAGTTTTCGCCGTGTGCAACACTTTGGGAGGGGAGAACCATCGGGGGAAAGCAACATCTAGCATTCAACACTCGGAACAAGAGCCTTTGACATCGCAAGAATTAACGAAATCATTCAAGCTTTAAAGTCACAGCTAACAAAAGGATAAAAGAGAGGGTGCATTGTTTAACACAATATGGAGTTAACGATCTGAGTAAGATGTGCACCGATCATGTCTCAATCCAGTCAGTGCCTTCCAGGCTAGCTTAGAACGTACACTCAATTACAGGCGTACCAATATCCAAAAAAATAGAGCATCAAGAAAACTTAATATGACAAGTCAAAAAAAGTCACGTGGTAGATATATATGTATAGAGAGATATCAGCACTAAGTACGTGTAACGGCAGATGGACTTCACCACTTACCATTCACCACCATCGCCAGCATGGGTTTGTATACAGTTACCATGGTTACTGAGAGTTTGGTGAGGGGCCTAAGCGTTATCGTCGAGGGGGGGAAAATAAAAGGCAAAATATGCAACATCTTACTCCAAAGACTAAAGCATTCGTAACTGGTATTTTTTTTTCTCTTTTTTTGTTTGTTTTAAGTTTTAACAAATATGACCCTGTGGCCACGTTGAGGGAGATCCAGTGGTAGAAGGAGGAGATTTCTGAGTACCAAAATTTTAGCATCAATTTTATCCATGAAGAGGGGCCAAATATTGAAATCCTGTTTGTTTATTTGCTTTATTATCAGGAGAATACAAAGGTTCAAACTGACTTCTTAAGAAAAAAATGAAAGGTTTAAAGACAAAAACCTCTCGTTTTTTGACCAATATAGAACAATTGTTCTTTCGATTGCTATTCCTTTCACAATTTGGTTTAATTTGCACACCACTGTGGATCCCTCGTCAACCCTGAAGTGGAAATAAAAAAAAGAAAAAGAAAGAAAAAAAAAAAGAATCTGTTCTGTATGTTGTTCTGTTTTTGCAACACTCTCTCCACTGTCTGAACCTACTGCACCCATTGGCTCTAACACATGGAAAAGAAAAGAATCAAATCAAATCAAATAAAAAAACTTTCAGATTAACCTTGTTTTGGTCTCACGTTTGCCATCCACCTTTCAGCAGTATTAAGAGTAACGTAATAAAATAAAATGAAAAAAAAAAGTAAGGCCAGTTTTCCTTTTTATATATAAGTATATATATATAAACAATGAGAAGGGAATAGGGTCACATACAAGACACAATGATGCATCTGAAACAACGAATGAGCGTGAAAGCAGACATTTATCAAAAAGATGTAAAGGAAAATATTTTGGACATGCACCTCGATTTTACGGCCCTCTACCACGGTGCCGTGTAATTTCTCCCTCGCCCTGTCCGCATCGGCACTATTTTCGAAAGTTACGAAACCAAATCCCTGCATGCAGGAGGGAGAAGGGAAAACAACATGCAGATTATTATTTCAGTCAACGACCACTGTGTAACGTTCTCTCGCTTTAATTTCTATGTCTTGTCCTGGCTTCCGTTCTGTAACATGCAAATTAGAGAAATTATAAGAGTACTAAGATGTGCAATCAGTAAGCAACAAATGTGAACAAGATATATATTTTTTTTCTGTCACCAGTTAGCTGTAACCCCTGAAGAATTCAAAGAATGATACCCAAAATACCTTTCTAAATGTCACTACAGAAGAAAATAAATCTAACAGAAAGAAAATGAGATCAAAATAAATGTACGGTGTCTTCACAGAGAATAAAATGAAATAACAAGGAAAATAAAAAGGGAACCACTTTCTTTACATGCAAATTAAGAATAAAGTAAAATAAAACGTGTGCACGGAATTCAACAATGAATGCCAAAATCTTCTAACATTGCCTACAGTCATGCCGTGTGGTTTTAAGAACATCTCTTCCTCATGCAGTTTTAGGGTTATTCAAATTGATCAATTCTACAGCCTTTACTTCTCACAAATAAAAATTAGAAGCCTACAAAAAGAAAAAAAAAAAGGAAAGACCTGCTTTGTAATAAATCTTAAACTCTTGTATCTAATAAACAAAATAATCACATGAAATGAATAGAAATAAACATCAATTGATCAATAATGCAAACAGTTCAAGTAAGTCTTTTGTATCAATACTTCCCCCTCCCATCCCCAAAAATGATATACATGCTTAGAAATTTGTCAGCTTCCCAGACTACTTTATTAACCAAAAAGGGAAATGGGTCAACATATGATAACGTTCTAACACATTATGTTGGTTTCCATTTGTCGTACCAATAGGCAGACAATAAAGCGACTTTGTTAGTAGGATGTTATCTAAGATAACCCTGGGCACTTCCTCTTCCACTGGTAGACATACCCCCTTCACTTCACCACTGGCAATTTTTGTCTTAACTTTTCAGCCTCAAAACACAACCCCACTAAACGTTACATTGTCAAAAGCCATCTTTTTTTTTCTTTACTGACACTGTTCCTAAGAAGAGTACAGAGAATATGACACATTATTTTTAAAACCCCTAAAAATAAGTGTACGACTTGTTCAGATATATACACCAACCTTTTGAAACACTGCCAGTGCCAATTTGCCCAGCTCGTTCTGTTTTTTTATTCACAGTGTAAACTGGGGGAAATAATGCTGTGTGTGAAGCTATTTCAACAAAGGTAAATGCTGGCTTTAAGCTTAGCTGGAGCAGGGAGATACTCTATTTTACGAAGAATACAATAGACAGTGATTATAAGTAAAAGGTAGTCATAACTGACGAGTGTTAACTCCCAATCACTCACGAGGTCACTAGAGTGTTCTCCGAAGCTCAGGGCATTTGGGAAGGGTGCCCTGTGGTCTGCCTAACAGAGAACTTGCCAGTGTCAACCTGAACTCATCTGTAGAGAACACCAGCTGTAAATGGATCCAAGCTAGAGGACGTGCCTCTTTGGCAGGATTGTAGAGTGAAAAAGTAAATTTCTTTAATTTGGGGGGTGGGCGGAATTACCTTTCATAACATTTCCCATGGTGAGGATCTATGATTAAGAGAGATCTGAAATGTTTGTCCTAGCATGGTTGCTCAGTGGTTAGAGCAACCCTCAGACTGAAGGGTTTGATTCTGGTCAAGGGCACATACCTCAGTTGCAAGCTCCATCCCTGGCCCCAGTCAGGGTGTGTGCAGGAGGCAGACAATTGATGTGTCTCTCTCACATTGATAGTTCTCTCTATTTCTCCCCACTCCCTTCCACTCTCTCTAGAAATCAATTGAGGAAATATATACACTCGGGTGAGGATTAACAAAAACAAAACAATGTAACAAAAAATATAGGTCTGAAATAATTGATTAATATAAGATAATATGCTCTATAAGAGAAGGGCTCTATTTAGGTGGGACACCTATGTTTGGTACTCCAATAAACTTCCTAACTGAATAATAATAGCTCTTTGATGAGCAGACAACATAATTTGGGGGGTTTGCTCTCTTTGATGGCTCTGGGTTCCAAGCTTAGTTGCACATCAGAAGGAACTGGGAGCATATTAAACACTTAGGTGCCGAGTCCTGCTATATATCTACCAGACCAGAATCCCCAAGAGGAGCCCAGGAGTCTGTTAAAAAAGCTGCTGTGTGGCCCAGCCTTTGGGTTCCCATGGCCTCTCAGCACCAAGCACCATCAAACAAAGGCTTCGGTTCTTTGTATGAAGTAGAATATTGTCTCACCACTATGGAGTGGGTTGAGTTTTTGAGGTGAATATCTATCTGACACAATATTTGGATGTTAGATGAAGAATACATGAAGAAGGCACCATGCTGATGGAGAGCTGGATCTGTGACATGTGCCCCAGGATGGGAAGGCATGATCCACAGGCCAGATGATGTGAATCTAAGAGAGACCACCAGACTGGCATGGCTTGGTTATTTTTAAAGCTTTTGGTGGATCGTGAATTCTGATTTCCCCATACCCCAGTTATTTTTCTACTTGGTCTTGTAGCATACATTTAGGTGCTAACTTTGTTTTTTGAATGCAAGTACATTTCTTATCTCACCCAAAAGCTCTGAAGGACGGATGAGCACACTGACTTTCCATCTGACAGGAAAATCCAACCCCTCTAGTTTCTGGTGCAGAAAACCACTGTCTGAAGGTTCATTTTCCTGTGGAGTTAAGAGCTTGTTTTTTCGTTGACCTTTGTCCATGCAGCTCTTTTTCCTTGGACATCTTCCCTCCTCCCCTTCCCTGGGGAACTCTTACCCATCTTCCTCCTTCAGCTACATGCCCCTTCTTCCCAGAAGCCTCCCACCTTCTGACAACACCGGCCTGCCCTGCTCGCGTGGGCTCTCAGCAGCCTCTCACTCATCACAGAGCACAGCATCCTCTGCTGCAGAGGCCTATCTCCACGGCCCGCCTTTCCTGCTGCTCTGGAGTCTGTGAGGGTGACGGGAAGCACTCCTGTCTAACTCACGGTTTATCAGCCCATCTGGTACCTGGAATGTAACCCCTACTTACTGAAGTCTATGGGGCCAAAGGCCAGCCTGAATATTCCCTAGGCATATTAAAAAGTAGCTATATTTGTCTGTATCCTCAAATAAAACATTTCAGAGCCAAATAATGTTTGTAAATCCCCTAAGAGGAAAAATGAATTACAGCACCTCTCACTCCTAAATGCTATCTAGTTCTCATTTATAAAGTTTGGCATAGGAGTGTGTGTGTGTTTTTAATGTGGTTACCTTGTACATTTTCTATTCATAGATAAATGCATTATGCATGTTAACACATTCCTGGATAGCAGATGCTCCTCATGTATGTACACACACACACACACACACACACACACACACACACACCAAACACCCACAGAACACACATACTCACTGAGCATTCAGTGACCTGCCTTGGGGAGCAGCCAGGAGGTGAGTTCCCAGCTCTTAGGGCCCACCCACTTGTTGGCTGCACCTCTAGCACCCAATGATGAAAATGAGGTCATAATAGCGATTCTGCTTTTTCAGCCATTAAAATGGAAATGTTCCTCTAAATAGGCCCATTCCCTATAAAGGATGATGTCAAATAGGAAAAATATCCCTGTGTGAGCCAAAGTCCCCATTTAGCGGAACCCAAATGGACTTTCTCCCTGACTCTCGGACATAACTAAACAGTCAGCCTTGTCACCTGCCAGGTCAGACTGGTTCTTTGAAAGGGAGCAGACCCACAGGGGGAGAGGGGCAATTTTTGATGTTCTCAAATTAAATACACACACACACACACACACACACACACACACACATGTTCTCAAATTAAATACACACACACACACACACATACACACACACACACACACACAGCTTCAGAGTCAGTGTCTGGAGGAGGCACACTTAAGTGGTCTTATTCGGAAAGCCCCAGAGACAGGCTAATCGTGGGGATGACAAAGAGTCTCAAAAATAGCACTGCCATTGTACTTTCAAAATAGCAAATGATATTATTCTAATGTCCCAAAACAGCTCTGGAAAGGAATAAAATAGCTTTCTCCCACTGGCAAAAGTTACCAAACAAAGTATAAATTAAATAGAAAAATTTAGAAAAAAACACACCTTCAAAAATAGTGGAGCTACAGGCTTAGATGAGAAGGAAGGTGGCCAACATTTCAGGTCCTCTCCTGTAGCTTTGCCCAGAACACCTCAATCTTGAGGGAAAGGGATGAGACTGGGCTCATTTTTCTACTCATGGACTTGGCTTTGCAGGGGTAGACGTAGTCCCTGTGATGACTTCCATACAAGAAGCAGAAAGAGAGCTAACTTCTCTGTCCCTGAGCCTAGAGGTCAAACTGCTGACACATTACAAGAAGGACGGCAAAAGGTCTGAAATGATGGAGTGGCAAGGTCCCTGCACTAGCAGAACATTATAAAGACTCTACTGGATTGATGTACCTGACTCATCTGGCAACTCACAACATCGTTTTGGCTGCAGAGAAGAGGACACTGGGATTTTCTTCCCTCAATGCCACTGGCATTATCCTATTTAGTTAATACTAAATCTACTAAGGAGCAATGGGTACAGGCTGTCGTTGCTATCTTAGATAAACCCCTTTCTCTGAGTAGCCCTCCCTCCAAACTGACTTGTCCCAAATTGCCTGTGTAAGGGAGTGATGGGGCTAAAATACTCTATCTGGTGAGCACGTTCTGTTTCTTCTTCTTTTTTTTTTTAATGTGACTTTAAAAATTAAATTTTTATTGTTAAAAGTATTACATATGCTCCCTACTCCCCCCTTGCCTCCTACTGGCCTGCCCCCACATCCCACACCAAGCCTTCACCACTCCATGGTCTGTGTCCATGGATTATGCATAGATGCATACAAGTTCTTTAGTTGATCTCCTCCCCGCCACCCACCTTCCCCTGCCTTCCCTCTGAGATTCCACAGTCTGTTCTATGCCTCTGCCTCAGGATCTATTTTGTGCATCAGTTTATTTTGTTCATTAGACTCCACATGTGAGTGAGATCATGTGATTCTTGTCTTTCTCTGACTGGCTTATTTCACTTAGCAAAATACTCTCCAGGCCCTTCCAGGCCATCTCAAAGGGGTAAGAGATCCTTCTTTTTTACTGATGCATGGTAGTCCATGTGTATAAATGTAGCATAGCTTTTTTTTTTTTATCGACGCGTCTACTGATGGGCACTTGGGCTGTTTACATACCTAGTTATTGTCAATTGTAAGAATTTTCTGTTAATCCCCACTTTCACAGTCAGAGGAGGGGAGGAGAAGGAAGCTTAAGCTCCCTGAGGCCCTGTGGGTGGTTTCTCTGGAAACAGCTCAGTTATTGCAAGTGTTTCCTGCATGACTGCCTAGGTCAATGCACAGCTCTTAAAGCATCTTCCCGCTACCCCTCAGTCTCTGCTGGTAGGCTAAGGGCACTGCTTCCCTGCTGGAGATTCTGAAGGGGTTCCTGAGTTCCCTGGGGGTGCAGTTGGAAGGAGGACACTTTCGTACCCACAAAACACCCGTGGGCAGAGGGCGCTGCGCATTCAAAGGAAGCCTTGACATTTGCCTAAAACAAGAACACTCGGTGTTTGCGACTTTAATAATAGGCCTGGAAGGTTTGTTAAAGCACAGATGGCTCGGCTCTGAGTTCGGAGTTTCTGACTCACTAGATCGGGTTTGGAGCCCGAGAATTTGCATTTCTTATAAGCTCCCAGGTGATGCTGAGGTGCCTGCTGGCTGGAGGACCACATGTAGGTGACGACTGAACAGATAATGCTTTGGAAGAGTTTGGCCTTTATTTTTCTATCCCAATGTATTTCCACTTTGAAAGAGCTGGAGCCTACTTAGATAACCACACACTTTTATGAATACTGTGTGCTCTAGGAAAATAAACTTAAAATTTGGTTTCCTAGAAAAAACAAAATCAAAGCAGTGGCAAATTGCAAAATGTGCACTGGTAAAGACGCTAATGAAGAAAGCTAAATTCAAAAGGTTGGTGTATATGACATTTTCTTCCCTACAGCCCAGGAAAATAACTGCACTTTATTAATACAGAATAATCACATATTTACCTGCTCATGAGACTATCAACTCACTTTTTAATATAAAGAACATAATTATCACTGAAAAACAAAAACAAAAATGTAGCAACACCATTATTTTTTTAAGCATGGGTAATTTTCCTCTGGAAACTTGATCTATAAATAGATAGGTAGATATAAAACAGCAGTTCTAAATGACCCCCTTCTATATTTAAAACTGAACCCATTGCATTTCCCACGATTTTGGAAATCGGAAGTGGTTTCCAAGGGAATGCCCCCTGAAGGGTATTTTCACCACGTGCTGATTAAAACAGTGCAGTTGTTTCCCATTATTCATAACAAGCGTTTTACAATAAGCTAAACGATTCTAAAGTGAATTAAGTTGCTTACCTTGGAGCCTCGCTCATTAAAAATAATTTCAACATCTAAGATTTTACCAAATTGCTGCAAAGAAATAGAAATATTTTATAAGCAATAAGAAAAGTGAAGGAAATCATATTATGCACATTGGTAATGGTACCCCAAGATTGAATAGTCTGTTCTCTTTCAACACACATGGATATTATATTTTATTTTGTGCTGTTCTTAAACAGTGCCCTTGAACCAAGAGAAAAAATAACCACACATGTTGTTTCCATGTTATGCCATACCCCACAGAGTGAGAGAGCAGAGTAAGGGGCCTGGTACAAAATAGGTAATCAAGAGGTTATTTCAATTTTCCTTTGTTTCTGTGTGCAGGATTGTTTTCCCAGGCACTGAGCAGCAAAGATTAAGCATGGCTAATGTATCTGCCGACCCTTCTAGGCCACCCCTCTAATCACTGGAGAAAAACCCTGATGAAGTGGGATTTGGGTAGTAAAGTATCCCAATAGAATAGGGGTATCGAACTCAATTAGAGAAGGGGCCAAAATCTAAAATCCAGCCTAAATCGCGGGCCGAATGGTTTACTGAACAGTCATAAACTGTCATTGTGATGGAAACGCAGCGGAGTGCAGTGATGACAGCGCGGTGCGGGCCACATTGCAAGGCCTGGCGGGACGGATTTGGCCCGCGGGCCTTGTGTTTGACACATGTGCAATAGAATATGAGGTTGAGGATTTGGGTCACAAGCACCCATGAAACAGCCAGGCCATGTAAGACAAGTAAAGTACAAACAGATAAAAGCAAGATCCACTATCTGGATGCCCATCAGAATCCACATACCAGCACAGTTGTGATTAGACTTCAGGCTGGAATGTACTTCTCTCCAGATGATTCTCCGTGTTGTTAAACCAACAAACATGTTTTAGACAATTAGCATGAATGTGCTCTATAAAAAGTGAAGGCGACTCCAGGTATTCAAGTCTAGGAACACAACTTCCGATGACAAATAAATTGGACAGTTGTGCATAATACAGATGCCTACGCAGATTAAAATTTCAAATATTCAAGAATAATTATGACCTGAAGATAATAATACTGGGGATACACTTATTCTTAATACAATATTGGTTATCTAAACTTCAAATTCAACTAGCATATCTTGTATTTTCTTTTATTTGCTAAATCTGGCAGTCCTCGGGAGAAAGATGTCAAGCAATTCTTGATTCACACTTTAAAGAGAAAAAGGAATGTGCACCCTGACACCAGAAGCATCTGATGATCCAAAATCCTTTTTCTTGACCTTGGAATCCTGTCAGTTTTCTTCACTCACATGAAGTCGAGTGGGCGACTTTTGAGAGCAGGTGGGAGAGGATGGCATACAAGTAGCGACATGGCCCAGGGAAAAAGAAGATGGGAATTTTATCTTATGCAGAAGGGAGCGAATGTTCATGTTATTAAAAAAATAAACAGGAGACCATAAAGTCATGTTTCCCTCTCTTTTTCCTTTATTTTGAGCTTTCCTATTGTTCCATTTGCTTCTGCAGCCTCAATTTTTATTGTGTTATTTACTGCTGTAGGAAAATAGGCATTCTGTCTCTCCCCTGGGTGGAAAGCATGGAGCAATCTCCATGCAGCAAGGGACAGAGTGGTTCAGAGGGAGGAGTAAGACAGGGAAGGAACAATCTGAACACAGATTGCTGAGGACAACCTGCTTGACCAGGAGCATCCATCAGAGGATGCTGGGAGGCCCTGAGGTGAGTGTCAAGAGGGTCTTACTAACATTCAAAAAAAAAATTTTTTTTGAACATACAGAGGCTGTCTTCTGGAACATACAAACTATCCTACTTTACTTGAAAAGAGAGGAAAACGTATGCATACCCGAGGCTACTCATCTATCTATCTATCTATCTATCTATCTATCTATCATCTATCTAAAAAGAGGTAATATGCAAATTAGCTGGTATACCATAACGTCCCAACAGCTAAGGAGGTAGTTGTGTGCACAGGTGGGTGGGAGGAGATTGTAGGATTGCATGTGTGGTAAGGCAAGCCACGGATGGTGCAGGCTTGCAGAGAAGAGGGCCTGCCAGCTGCACACGCTGGCAATCCCACCTCTGCACATGAGCAGCAAAGGAAGCACCTTTTCTGACTGCTCATTGGCTAAACTCCCTGTAGGCCACTCTCACCAATTGTACTTGGTAACTTGGGTAATAAGAATCTAAGAAGGTGATCTAGGGTCTTCCACCTCACTCCTGGAGGAAAAAACAAAGCTGCTGGAGGGGCTAAGAAATGTCATTTCCTGCCCTAACCAGTTTGGCTAAGTGGATAGAGCCTCAGCCTGCCGACCCAGGTCAGGGGCCCAGATCAGGGATCATGCAGGAGGCAACCAATCTAAGTGTCCCTCTCACATTGATGTTTCTCTCTGTCTTTCCCATTCTCTTCCACATTCTCTAAAAATCAATGGGAAAATATCCTCAAGTGATGATAAAAAAAAAAAAAGAAGAAGAAAAAGAAAAAAAAAGAAAAAGAAAAAGAAAAGAAAAGAAAGAAATGTCAGATCCTATGAAAGAGACATCTTGAAAATGCCTTAAAAAAAAGTTGTCATTTTTTCATGGTGAAGGGACTGGAGTCCGTGATGAAAACACCTTGGTGGCTGCGGCAGCTGGCAGTGGCAGCAGCAGCAGGGTAATGGAGGTGGTGCCTTCCCTCATCAGCCCAGTCACCTCTGCAGAGGGAGGGCAGACTGCAGCTTAGGCCCTCCCCCGGGGGAGCAGGTCTAAGTCATCAGTATGACATCCCCTGAGGGCTCCCAGATAGGAAAGGTTGCAGTTGGGCTAAAGGAACACCCCCCCCCCCCATACATGAATTTCATGCACTGGGCCTCTAGTATAAAAACAAATAGCTCAAATCCTTGAAATGAAAATAGTTATTACTATGAGAAAAAGAAACCCAAAGCTATGTCATTCTGTGTCTTTAAATATGCCCATTGCTAGGAATATGTACCCAGGAAGGACATCATAGAGTGGAATTTTTCTTGTTGAGCACAAGTGCTTCTCTACTTCCCAAAGGATAGAAGGACAGGAAACCATCAAGAAGACAAGGCTCAACTAAGAGAGGAGATGGAAGGATGCTGGCACGTACAGGTTCAGTTCCAAACCTCGGCAATAAAGCAAATATAGCAATAATACAAGTCACACAAGTTTTTGTGTTTCCCAGTGCATATAAAAGTTATATTTACACTATTCTGTAGCCTATTAAGTGTGCAATAATGTTATGTCTAAGAAATATATATATATATATATATATATATATATATATATATATATATATATATATCGTAATTAAAAATACTTTGTTGGCTAAAAAATGCTATCACCTGAGCCTTCTGCAAGTCATAATCACTTTGCTGGTGGAGGTTCTCACCTTCATCTTATAAAATCAATGCCTTATCTGCAAAGCACAATGTGGTGAAGTGCAATAAATGAGGTCTGCCCATACAATGGAAACACCAAGAAGCATGCAGCTAACTCACCCTGCCATTTCTGGATGCTCAGTCTCTCTGTCAAGAGAATACTCTTCTACAGAGCATTCTGAGTGCCCTAGATTTGGGCAAAGAAAATCACTAAACACAGAAAAAGAAAATTTTCAGATTTGGAAGGGAAGGGTTTGCCATTGAAAGGTGAACTTAATCTCAGAGTTAAGCAATCCTCCAGCTGGGTGAATGCCTCAGAAGCAGTAACTTTGATATAAACTTAGAAAAGTCAGTCCACACAGATGCTATTATATGTATTTTGGACATAAGGGCCCAAAAGCACTCGTGGTGATGGACACGGAAGCTAGAAAAGAACTTCTTTCCAAATTATGAAGCAAAGGTCACCTACGGAACATTCTTTCAGCAGTCAACACAAACACTTCCTTAAAATAAGATCTCGTGGAGAAAGAACCAAAAGAGAAATACTCTTAGCATGTGTCTTTCCCCAAATAAAATGATGACACCATATGCCCTGAAATGGTCTCAACACAAGTTGGCTGCTACCCTTGGGCTGATGATTCACAAAGCCAAGGAAACGAGCCTTGAGAAGAATGCTGATGTCAGCCCCACGGCTGAGACAGTTGTGTACTATATTTATAGTATCAACAGTTTAATTGGGAAGTTGGTACTAATGATGTAAACACAGCTGGCACATTTTCAGTTTAAACAGACACGACTCATTCGCAGACATAACTAGCATTTGTTTGCTCAACACCAATGTTGGGTGGCGTTCAACAACATCTCAGAATCCACACAAGGTGTCTGGATGGCTGCATCCAGAAGGAAATCCAGGCGCTTATAGGCACGCACGTGGGCAAATCTGTCGCAGGCATTTGTAGACATTCTCAGATCAAATAATATTTCTCTGAAAAACTGTGCAAGATGGTCAATGGATAGAGCATGAAACATGAAAGCAAAGGTTAGTTCAAAGAATGTACAGAGAGGCTAAGGAAAGGCATCCTCTGAGTTTTCTTGGGGTCAGCTTCATGCTTAGAATGCAGACCGAGGAGGCACCAAGCCATGCCCAAGAGATCAGCTTCACTACTTGTAATATCACAGTGGGTGGAATTCCTGTTAACACTGGAAGTGCCGCCATCTCTCTCGCTCTACGTTATTATTGCAGAGCTGCTCATGAAAGCTTCTTTTGCATGCTCCGAAAGTCAGGGGATCTGCTTTTTGCTGACCATAAAGAGAGACTTCCATAGATTGTGTGCATGCTCAAGTGAGTCTGTCTTTTGATAACAAAAGCAAAGCTGTGACATCAAGGGTCCTGTGCAAATTTGAAACCTGAACTCACTGAGCAGCTGTTTCTGAAAATAATTCTACAATGGAATGAGGTGTATCCATGATCTGGATAGATTATAACCACTTCTCTCCTCCCAAACCCAGAAATGCTTAACATTTGAATATTAGGTTAAATTAAATTTCATATTTCAGGAGCAAGAAATTATAATTGATCTATGGAAATCCACACATTCCTTTAGTGGGATCGTCAAGAACTCAATGTAAAGGAAGTAGCAGCTCATGAATGATGTCTGACATGAGGACAGAGCTCAAGAAGAATGGAGCCAGGTGCGGACCAACATTCCTTCCACTGAAATCTTCAGAAGCAAAGTCTTGATCACATATTCAAGCCATTCACTCACACCCCTTTTGGTGCTTTCAAAAGACTTCTACTTTGGATAATGTGACCACAGAGCAGCAAGGCCCAGGAATGCTCCATCTTAAACAGAACAGGAAATCTATAATGAGCTAGAAGAGTTCATGACAAACATGGAGACCCAGGCCTCCAAAAAGGGGAGAAAGTGCAGAATATGAAGTGCATGTGGAAGAAAAGATAACCAGAATGGCAATAAGGAGGCACTGGAGCCACAAATTTAAAAAAATATATATATATGAGAGGCACTTGTGGTAACCATTAAGCCCACAGAGGTTGCAAACTTCAGGACTGAAGGAGGACGTTGTTATGAACGTTGCCAGGTTTTTGGCAGTTTGAGAAAGGAGGCTCTTTTTTGTCTTGTGAGTTTTGTTTTTGTTTTGAGTTTGAAACTCCCACTTTCAGGAAAAGAGACAAAGGAAAAAAGCTCAGGGGCCTTGTGAGAGTTTCCCCCCCTCACCCCCCCCCCCCCCACCCATCATAGTAGGTACTGTAGCTCCTGCCAAAGTGAGGGGATAAAGGCAGAATATTCCACCAAAAGGAGAGGAGGTATTTCATGTCCATGTGATCTGGAAACTACCAATCAGGGGTTAAAATTGGGAAGCCAATCAGAATGTTTACAGATGCCTTCCGAAGGGATTCATACCACTAAATGTATCAGATAACTAGAATAGGTTTGCCAACACCATGATTTGGCTAGGAAATATAGTCGTTTTTGTTGTTGTTGCTTTTTTTTTAGTGTTAAAATTCCATTTCTTCAGAATTATGGTTATAAAACAAAGAGGCCTCAGATTTACAGCAGAGTCCCAGAATCCACATGTACCCAATAATTTTTTTATGGATGAAACCCATCACAAAAATCCTGCCTACTTTTCTAAATGGACACAGATGCTGTTTGTGATCAACAAAACATACATTTTAATATCACTGAATGTACGCTGTGCTTTCCTAATGCATAAATAGTAAGTGTATCTATCATCCTGTCAGATTGGCATCTTGCTAGTTGCTTGACAATTTTGACTTTTACAAAAAGTGGCTATGAAACCAGTCGATTTCCATCAAGGTCTGACAACTGATAGTACAATGGATCTTTTGCCTTATACGTTAATAAATGAATATACCAAGACTTTGCTCCATGCCATCTGCCCTACTACCCCTGTAAGAGTAAGAGGTTCATATACCCACACACACAGGATCCCTTCTTTGGAATTCTAGCTGTGGGTATTGTGAATGCCTCTCTGACTTAGCAGTGTCACTCTCCAGTAACTTTCATTATAACCCAGAAGACCAGGGAGTGAAGAGCACCCTTGGGGAGTGGGAACTGGGGTGCGCTGCAATGAGCGACCCCATGAGGGAGCCCCGGATGGACATCCAGAGGACCGAGTTCAAAGCCAACATCCCACTGACACCTGATGAGCAAAGATGGGCTGGAGCGCAAGATGGCTTCCTCACCTGCTGTGGCAAAAGGAATTCGATGCCACTGACTTCCTGTCACTCAGACCTAGCCTGGCTGCTTTACACACTTAACCTCCACTTTCACTTTGAATGCTCTGCACTTTTCAAAGTCATGTTTGACCCGAAAGTGCCCGAGGGTATCTCTTCTCTGCAACAGTTAGAGAGGGCTCAACTCAAGGTTATTACCAAATGAGAGAGATGAAAGTGCAGGAGCTGACCTTTTCCTCGGAAATGTCAGGTTTCAAGTCTGGGTGTCTTCAATGTGAGGATGCCTGGCCTGCGTTTGTGTCAGATGCACGCTTGATAAACATCATGCACGTTCAAGGAATAAAAGGTGCACGAGAACCTCGCAGTCGCAGGGCCGTGAGCCAGAGCTCCCTTCTCTCATGGGCAATGAAAGCTACTTTGCCCAGAACTAGGCCTTCAAGGTGGGCTATTTCTTATTCCTTTTGTCATATCCGTGTGCATCCAAAGACCCCTAAAAGAAGAATCTCCAGGCAGCCAACCTTTGCTCTCAGTCAAATGTTAAGAATGTCGTCCTGTTCACTGAATCCACAGATACCTCCCACCAATGTCGGATGTCACGGAAAAATAGACTGACTATGTTTGCAAACATGAGTAGTATCCAAGCTCATGGTAGCATTGCCCTTTGGCAAAACTGAGCCCAAGGAAACGCCAAACTCATCCATTCCCACAGTGGACAGGGCAGATACTGTGCAGAAATACTGTCTGGGTCATGATGCCCCATGAGGAAGCAGCCCTATCATTTCTTTTCTCTGGGTGACTTCTGTCTCTGCATTTCACCATAGTTGGGGGTGGGGCATGCTGTCATTGGCACATACAACACCACAATAGGAATCTCTGCACCCTCACTACGGGTTCCAGGAGGGTGAACACTGCAGGATGTAAGTCAGGCTGAGGAGTCTCTAGCCTTTGTTCTGTTTTTTTGTTTTGTTTGTTTGTTTGTGTGTTTTTTTTTTTAGTTTTTTTTTTGCCTTTTAACAAAGATTTAGAACTAATTCTCGACAGCTGCATCAGCCCTCTAAATGCTCAATGCCTGGGAAAGGGTAAGGTGTGCCTGAATGCATCACGGCAATCAGGCAACTGCCTTCCAGTGAAGAACCAAATTGAAACACGATGTTTTTTAGCCATGACATGGGGTCCAGGCCCCTCCATTTGGGATCACCAATGGGCTTGCTTCAGCAGTGTATTATCTGAGAGTCAATTTTCCATTTGATAGGTCAGTGACTAATTAGAAAGAGGCCATTTGGCAAAATGGAAACATGGTGGACACAGGCAAAGAAATTTATATTAAAAACAGTGAAAGAGCCTAATCACCATACACCCACAAAATAGGACCCAAAATCCTCCCTTTTAAACGTCTCACCTCGTATTATAAATAGCAAGAACTTACATGGCGGGCAGGGCTCTGGCCCAGAGCAGGCCCTGCAGGGGAGAAAGGCAGTACTTACACCAAACATTTGTCGGAGGTCCGGGTCACGGAAGCGGAAGGGGATGTTGGAGACGTGCAGGCGCTTGGGCTGGGACTTGTTTTCTGTATTTTCGGAAGGTTGTGTCTGGGGCTGGCCATCCGTCGGCGCTGCGTCATCTGTCTGCTAAAAGAACAAGAGCAAAGCGAAGAGGCTGTGAGTGGACCCCGACGCTCTTTCCCAGAATGCTTTTGCATCCCCTCCCTGGTAGCAAAATTCCAGAGCAAAGGAATAAAGGCAGGAAGGAACTGCTAAGTGGTTTTCATTCATGCAACAAAAATTGACTGAACTCTGAGTGCCTGTCATGGACCTGGAGGTGGGCAAAGCAAAAACCCCTGTCCTCACAGATCATATTTCTGGGGAGGAAGGGGGTTGCCGCATTAATAAATACGGGCCAGAGCTGGTTTGGCTCAGTGAATAGAGTATTGGACCAAGGACTAAAGAGTCAAGGGTTCAATTCCGTCAGGGCTATGTATCTCAGTTGCAGGCTTGATCCTTGGCCCCCGTCCAGGCGTGTGTGGGAGATAACCAATCGATGTGGCTTTTTCACATTAATGTTTCTCTCAAAGTGTCTCTCCCCCTCCTTCCCACTCTCTCTAAAAAGCAATGGGAAAATATCTTTGGGTGAGGATTAACAACGAAATTACATAAGTAAAAATAAATACATATGGAGCTGACAAAAGGAGAAAAGCACTCGAGAAGAAAATATATTATAGCAAAGGAATGGGCTAGCTGGTGCTGGGGCTGGGCGAGGAATGCTGACTGGCAGTCAGAGAAAAATGTCACCAGGAAGGGGATAGGACTCACAAAGGTAGGAGAAGGTGGATCCCTTACTCAAGGCTGTTCAAATCTTAGGACACACCCTACATAATTGCTGAGGTTGTGCAGATAAAATATTAGTATATGCACTAAAACATTTGAAAAGGCCGTTTGGTATTCTGCAATCCAAATAGCTATCTGATTGACTTAAGTTATTTTATTTTATGGTTTGAGCTTTTTAAAAAATATATATATATTTTATTGATTTTTTACAGAGAGGGATAGAGAGTTAGAAACACTGATGAGAGAGAAACATCAATCAGCTGCCTCCTGAACACCCCCTACTGGGAATGTGCCCACAACCAAGGTACATGCCCTTGACCGGAATGGAATGGAACCTGGAATGGAACACTTCAGATTGCAAGCCAAGGCTTTATCCACTGAGCCGGTCAGGGCTGAACTTTGGTTTCTTGTTTTAAAATATATTTTTACTGATTTCAGAGAGGAAGGGAGAGTGAGAGATTAGAAACATCAATGATGAGAGAGAACCATTGATTGGCTACCTCCTACATGCCTGCTACTGGGGAATGAGCCTGCAACCTGGGCATGTGCCCTTGACCGGAATTGAACCTGGGACCCCTCAATCCACAGGCCTATGCTCCATCCACTAAGTCAAGTGGGCCAGGGCTGAATTTTGGTTTCTTGATTTTTAGGCTAGTATTGTCCATTATAATTTACCCTATATAACAATTAAATACAATATAAAATTCAGCTCCTCATTCGCACTAGCCACATTTCAAGTGCTCAGTCACCACATATGGCTATTGGCTTCCATACCGGGCAAGCAGATACAGAACCTCTCCATCACTGCAGGACTTTCTGTTGCAGCAAGTCGGTGTGGACATCATCACATTATTAGCATAACTCATCTGCTTCCCATTCCATCCCTCCCAAATGAAAGCTTGGATCACTTGCTAATAGAATGACACCTTTATATAAGCAGGAACTAGGAGAAAAGTCTCAGTAACATTTGGTATCATTGTAGCTATGCCCATATTCTGATTCCTCTATAGTTTCAACATTTCAGAGATGCTTCATTTTTAGATACTTTCCCTGCAATTAGCACATACTGCCTGCAGGTGGCAGTAGATGCCATCCACGTCAGATACCTGCTTCTCCGAGGCCAAGATGGAAAAACCTATATGGAAGCTCATTAAATTATGAGCAAGGAATCGCCCACAACTACTTATACACAATTTAGTGGAATATAATTGAGAGGGGGAAAAAAAACTATCAATACAGGCAGCCAGTTGTAAAATAATAAAGACAATTTTACAAAGTGAAATAGATATATGCCAAAATAACGTGAGCATAATTAGTGGCTTTCTTGTCAACTCTTGTATTAACTGGCAGACTTCATTTATTATTTCATTATTCTCCATCCTATACATCCTGAGTTGCAGTTTGAAGTCAAGACCGCCAGTGACTGGCACACTACTTCGCAAGCTGGTTTCATATCCAAAGCCCCCTACCAGGTGACTTTTTCCTTCCCAAGTGCAATGTTTTGATTGCAACAACAATTTTGCATATGCTTTTGGAGTAAGAAGGAGGATGGTGACAGTTTTCTCGTCTGGAAAATGAACAGTAACAATACAGCATATGTTAAATGGCTCTATGAAGAATGAACACAATGACCTATGCCTGCTTGGCAGAGTTCTTGGCTCATGGTGTACAATCAATAAATAAAATGTAATGCATTTTTTAAAATGATGATTTTTTAAATCAATGAGAGATGTAAAGAGACCCTCTCAGGAAATAAAGAAGAAAGGTCCTCATTTGCATACAAAACACCTCTTTACTGAGCAACTACTATACACTAGACATGAGACTTGGTCTTAAAATGCAGATCCCATTTTAGAAAGAGATAAAAAGTTAGAAAGAGTCAGCTGTTATATCATTGTTAAATGCTGGAATGAGAGTGGATCTCAGAAGGCTGAGTAAAGATAAATCAGGGGCACACAGCACTGTTGGAGCTCCCTAAAGGCTGGCCAGTTCTGCAGATTAAATCTGAAGTGGGGGATGTCTAAGTGAAGAGGTGATGACTGGCACTGTGACAGCAGGTGGCAAAGCTTATGCAAAGATGCAGAGATTCAGGAAGCACGGTACATGTGGACCTCACTGGCCCTGGCCAGAGGGGGCAAGTATGGAGGCACATGAGAGCACACTGCCAAGGGAGGTAGGGGCTGGATCACGGATGACCCTGTGAGCACAAAAGGATCATAGCAGTGTGACATGACCAGCACATGAGCCGAGGTAGACACACGACAAATGCCTGTGTAATGGTGACTGACTCACCAACAAAATGGGTGAATGGAAGATCAGTACATGAATAAACAAAGAACGAAGGAATGAACGATCCACCTCGCCACCTTCAAGTAATCATGGAAGAAAAATATTGATACCCAAGCAGACATAGGAATTGTGTTTTCTCCTCTGGTAGTGAGATTTGGTTACATGTCCATGAGGTGCACATATCCTTGAATCATGGGATTGTCACTTTTTGGAGGGGTCAAGGGCCTTAGTACTGTTAGGTTTGCAGAGAGGCAGCTGAGACTGAAACTTTCTGTCCCCTCCTGTTAGAAGTTGCTGTTCCAATGCCAATTGCAACGAGCTCCTTCCCCCTAGCCTCCTACCAAGAAGGAAACTTAGATTTGAATTTGTGCATAACCGCTGGATGTTGCAGCTTAATAAACCTAATTAGGAATTACAGAGATTATGATTAAACATATTAAATGATTAATGGCATTATGCTGCTCATGTGAAAATTAAAATTAATCATCTTTAGTCAAACAGGACTTTGGAGAAATCTTTGTGTTGTTTCCTTTGATAAAAACATACAACGCTCAATTAATCATTTTATAGCCTGCGCATATATACAAATGCCCAGACACTGTTATGTAGGAATACCTGCGTGTTCATAGTAATTTTAAAAGATAACATGTAAAAAAATAAAATAAAAGACATTGTGAGTGAATGGACTTGAAAGGATGTTGGAATCCAGAGGTTGAAAAAGAAAAACAGGGGGAAAAATGTTTTTCAGACTGAGCATGTCTGGTTATACAGTGCACTTTAACACAAAGGACTAGACTGCAGTGAGGACCAAATGCAATAGGAAGGTGGCAGTCCCTACAGCCTCACATTTTGGGGTTGCACCTGTGGGAGTGAGCCCCACTGACTCTCATATTGAGAATATTGGCTGTGAGCTTTCTCTGTCCCTTTTCTTGAGAACTTTCAGGGAAAACATACACCCCTTTGTGAGTCTCCTAGAAAATGACCACACATATGCTGGCTTAAAGCAATGGACGTTTATTCTCTCAAGTTGTTGGGCCGAAAGTAAACAAAGAAGTTGCTGTAGGGCCACACCCCTCGGGGGGCTCTAGGAGAGGATGCTTCCTCACCTCTCTGGACTTCTGGTGTCTCCTGACTGCATCTCTCCAACCAGCGTCTGTCTTCAAGGTCATATGGCCTTCTTCCCTCCGTGCGCCTGAGACATGACTCTCCCTCCGCCTTTTTCTTCTTTTAAGGATAGCGGTCACTAGATTTAGAGCTCCCCCTAAGTCCAGAATGATCTCGTCTCCAGATCCTTAATCACATCTACAAAGACTCCTTTTCCAAATAAGGTCACATTCACAGGTTTATGAAGGCCAGGACACGGACATATATTTTGAAAGCCACTATTAAACCAGGACACGGACGTCTTCTTTAAAGCCACCATTAAACCCGCTAGCCCCTTATAAACAAGCCCCCAGTGGATGTACAGTGAGTCGCTGTTATCAAGGAGTGAGTGTACTTCAAACCACATCAGGCAGCACGAGGCTGTCCAAGGGGTTGGCCTCAAACCAGGTCCAAGAAAGGAGAGGAGAATATGTGTTCCTGCCAGCGCTGCCCCAGGCGCACTGGCCACTTTAATGAGTTCCCAAAGTGGACAGGAGGCCTGAGTCTTCCCTTCACCAGGCCACGCTCGCAATGCAGACTGCCTCTCCGCACCTGGATGCAAGGACACTGGGCTGAGAAGCACTCCCCCACCCCCTTGCCCCTGGCTTCCCAAACCATCAACACCCTCTAAGGACCAGGATGTGTCCTTAGGTTCCCTGAGCCCAGCACCATACATCCCACAGATGGATTAAGCCAGTGGTCCGCAAACTCATTAGTCAACAGAGCCAAATATCAACAGTACAACGATTGAAATTTCTTTTAAGAGACAAATTTTTAAAACTTAAACTATATAGGTAGGTACATTGTTATTAATGTAATTAGGGTACTCCTAAACTGGCCTTTGCTAAAAGCTCAAGGGGCCAAAGAGCCAC